GGATGGAGGCGGTTTAGTCCAGGCTCTGGGCCAGGCCGCGGTGCCCCGGGAGATGCCCACACTGGGGAAGGGAAATAAGGCATGGCTGAGATGGGAACGGCCACGGGGCTGTGTCCTGGGCCTCAGGTGGACCCCGGTGTGCCCTGGGCCCCATGGAGTGAGCGGACCAGCTCAGGGAGGCCTGCAGGGTGGTCAGAGGCTTGATTTTCTCTGGGCTTACCTGAGTGGATGTTTCAGGGGCTCTGTGAACGGGGCCAGGCGGGTGGGGCTGAGGAGGATGGCCGCTGTCCTGGGGGGCACAGGGCCTTTGGGCGAGGGCCAGTGTGGTCTGACTGTTCAGAGGAGAGGCCTGCCATGTGCCTGGACAGGTGGGGAGAGACACGGAGGTGTGGGAGCAGGGCGGGTACAGGAGGAGCTGCATCCCCCGGGGGGCTGGGCGGCTAGCTGGCAGGTGTGTATAGGGAGGGGGACGTGGGAGGAGTTGCCTGTGGTGGGGACCCTCGAGTGTGAGAGGGACATGATGGAGAGCAGGGGCCGGGAAGGAGGGAGCCGAGGAATTGGGAGGCCCGGCAGGGGGTTCCAGGACCTCAGGGTGGACAAGACCCCAAGCCCTGGGCTCCCTGGGGGTGGCTGCGTGGGGAGCCCGGGAGAGATGGCCGAGATGGGAGCTGTGTTGAGCTCTGTGCCCCCTCGGTGGGCTCTTCAGGGCAGGAGCGCAGGCTGGAGCTGGGAGGACCTGACCCCGACCTGCAGCTGCCACTGACATGGCCCACGGTCTGGGGCAAGTCTCCTTCTCCTCCCCCTTCCCCTCCCCCTTCCCCTTCCCCTTTCCCTTCCCCTTTCCCTTCCCCGGTGGGCCAAGTTGAGGCCCTGGGACGGGCACTCCTGTGAACCCCCAGCTCCGATGCCCTTTGGGTCTCAGGCTCGGTGGCCCTCTCAGCTGGTCTGACTCTCCCCATCAGCCCAGGCTGCGGGGTCGAGCCTCTGACCTAGGCAGGACCTCCTGGGTGCTCGTGGTCCTGGCTGTGGGTCGCCATTCACAGGATACCTCGTCCAGCCCGTCCTGCACTCGGCGGCTCGCACATTGCTCACCTGCTCCTGCCTGCAGTGCCAGGACCCAGGGGCCGGAGTCCTCCCCAGCCCCGCTCTGTCCACAGGGCTGCTGCTGCGTATACCCACCTACCGGGCTGCCCGGTGGGTTGTTTTCAATGTCATTTAGATGCTTGGGTGTTTTCTTATTTATTAATGAATAACTTGGCCTTACCAAGGCCCTGCAGTGTCTCTGAGACCAGAAGGACGACCTTGCTGAAGGGCTGGGAAGGGCATGGTGCCTGCACAGCCCTCCTCTCCCTCAAGGCTGACCCCTCTCCTGCGGTTCCCGCCGCCTGCTGATGCCAGGCAGAACGGCTGAGCCCCTGTGGAAGAAGCCTGCCAGCGGGTGCAGGTTCTTGCCCCACCAGCCCACGCTGGGGAGCCTGAGCCCCCTGCTCTTCCTCTCCAAGGGCACAGTCCTCCACCCCCTTCCCCAGGGCAGGCCTCTGGCTGTCGGGGAGCCCCGTGGCAGGCAGAGCAGGTGGGAAGGAGCTTGCTGTCTGAATGTCCAGGCCCTGCTGGCACCGCCCGGCCCGCAGCGGGGAGGGTGTGAGGGCCCTCTGCTCTCCACCACGTGTGTTCTACTCCCTCGTTCCGTGGCTGTCACCTGGGAAGTCCCTGCGCCTTAGAGACGGGCAGCCACTCCTTGTCTCTCTGGCTCCTGTTGCGTCAGAGCCTTGGCCAGAGCCCTTGGTGGTTGGCCCACCTTGTCTTGCCGCCTGGCCGGGTCACCATCACCGTCACCACCCTGTGCTCCAGCCACCTGCGCGTCTTCAGACCTTCCCTGCTGCTGCTTAAGCTGTGCTCGCCTTCCCAGTGCCCCTGTCCACCCAACTCGGCTGTGACACCCACATGCTGCCCGTCCCTCGGTGACGAGTCTCCCCTCTCCGAGAACCACATCGGCCTCTGCCATGGCTGCTGTCAGCCGTTTGGCTTCTGCTGCTTCGTGCCCCTGAGACCCAGCTGCCCAGGCTGGGCGGGGTCATCTCCATGTGCTAGGCCTCCGCTAGGTTCTGTGCTGCGGCCTGGGGATGACGGGAGCTGTTCCTTCCTTCCACTTGGGGTCCCCGCCGTGAACATGGGCAGGAAGTGACTCATAATTGCCACTCCTGGGGAGGCAGCTGTCGGTGACATGAACCAATTTCCAGGAGCGGGGCGCATCAGCAGTCAGACCCAGGGTTATGTCAGCAGCAGCTTGCTCTTGCGTCCATCTCGGCAGGTTCCCAGGGAGGAGCTCACAGGCTTCTCCCCAGGATGCGGGTCACCACCAGCTGTGCACGGGCATCAGGGCCCTCCGGAGGCCGGCCCTGGCCCCGCCTGAGGCCTGTAGCCCTGTACTGGGCTGAGTGTGGTCACGTGCCTTTGAGCATACCCAGACATGATGTGCCCTGTGTCGGCTGGTGACAGGGCAGGCCAGTCTCACAGCCGGAACAGCTCAGAGGGAGAGAGCAGCGCTGTTTCCTGCTGCAGGTGGAAGGTGCATGGCGCTTGGAATACCGGTGCCACGTGGTGCCTGGGCACCTGGAACACGGGCCACCATGTCACCGTGAGAACACGGCTTCCCAAGAATTAAGGAGAAAATTAGAGCCGGGGAAAAGTCAGAAGAAGCAGAGTTCAGAGTTTCTGTAGAAAGCTCACACTGGTTCTTGCCTCTTCTCCGACACCCCACAGGCCTGGGCGGCGAGTCCTGTCAGAGCCGGGTCCTTGTGTGTGTGGACGTTTCCCTGAAGGGAAACAGGTCGCTATTTCCACAGCGCCCTCAGCCTGGAAGGGCGTCGGGGCCCGAGCGCTCGTCTGGCCCTGATTGCTGGGGCGTGTCCTGCCTTGGTTCTGTCCACACCCGTCCAGGGAGCAGACACCCGCAGGCCCCCTGCCTCTCCACCTCAACCTCCTTCGCTCGGCCTGTGTGCTCTCGGAGTTCCCCGTGCCGGGTTGGGTGGTGGGGTGAGCTCCGGCGTTGGTCCCAGGACACGGCAGGCACGAGCCCCTCGAGGCCGGGACACCACGCTGGGCTTCGTGGTCCTTGTCCTTGCCGGGGTGTGTGGCTCCTGAGACGTCCTGCTCTTCGTGAGCGCTGGCAGCATGGCCTGGAGGTCGGAGCGCTCACCTGAGCTGTGTCTTTCTCCCTTTCTTCTCAGGACAAGGATGACGGGGAGCCCGGGACCAAGCAGCTCAGAGAGGAGCAGCAGGAGGGTGAGAAACACAGGTAAGGGTGCCACCCTCTGCCACGGCCTCCTGCCAGCATCGGGCCGTCTCGGGGTCTCTGCAGTCACACACCGCACGGTCACCTGTTCACACACAAAGCTCTCACCCTTCTCACTGGCCGGGCCTCCGCGTCCGCGTCCTCGTCCCCGTTGGCTGCCCGGCTCAGCCACCAGCATGCCTCTCTGGCCCCCCGTGTTCCTTCCCACTCCCCTTTTGCAGGGCGGCTCTGTCAGCTGCAAGGTCAGGTCCCATGTCTCCACCGGGTGCGTGAGCTCGGCCTGGTCCCCCTGTGGCCACCGCGGCCACTCGCGTCTCCTGACAGCATGTGATCCGTTGACACCACCCTCTCAGCCTGGATTCCGTTTCTTCTCTGACTCTCCTCTGCAGGAGACTCGGCTCAGAGGCCTCCTCCTCTTTCTGACTGCGCTCCCCCTCCTGCGCTGTTCACCTGGATCATTTCTCTCTTTTTTTTTTTTGCTAAATACTGTCACCTGGTCGAATCAGCTTACGTTTTCTGAACACAGCATGTGGGAGGGGCTCGGGCATCTCTCCTGGCTGCAGGCAGGTCTTTCCCGGTCTTGAGGCTGCAGCCTCACAGAACTTTGCATCAGAAGGTACGGGTCTGTCTCAAGGAGCCAGCGTGTGTGGGTGAGGGGACGAGCTCTGAGTGGGGCAGCCTCCACATCTGGCCACTCCTGGCCAGAAGTGCCAGAGGCCTCATGGCCTCCCTCCTGCACCCAAGCCTGTGCCATGGCTCCCAGACGTGTTTTTTCTTAAGTTTATTTACGTATTTCTTCCATGAGTGAGACAGAGAGTACCCCAAATAGGGTCTTCATACCACAGTTCACCCCAGCTTCAGCCAGCCCAGACCCTGGGCACACGCACCCCTGGAATGTCAAAGGGAGGCCTCAGACACGAACCCAGACCTTCCCCTGAGGGATGGCCTCACTGAGCGTGGTGGTGCTGCTGTGTCACCCCACACTGTATCTTTATGGACACGCCGCCTCAATTTCCTCTGCCCTGAGCGGCGTCCTCAGGCCCAGGGTGGAGAGGGCCTTGGACGTGGGCGGGTGGGCTGCGCTTTTAGCTGGGGCAGCGGGAGGGAGCGGGTGTTCCCAGGGGCTGCTGAGCGGGCCTTCCCAATACCACAGGTGGTTTTTGCCTTCACTAGTGTGGTGGGACCTCCCCCACACGCTGCTGGTCCATCTCTGCCTCCTTAATCTGGAGTGGACCCCCGACACCCTTTACCAAGTGCTTTCACGGCAGCCCCAC